CAGAAAACAAGACTTCATATGTTCAATTTGCATCTCAAGTAAATGAATCTTGATAGATAGTAAAAACTAAAAAACAAGACAACTCCTGAGGAAGAGATTTATTTTTGCAGTACATTTAATGATATGACTTTATGAATTTAATACTTTCTGCTATTGTTTAAGAGTATTATTTAAGCCTTTTAAGACCCACAGAAACCCTGTTATACTTGTAAAAAATACAAATAAAAATTCTGCCAATTTAGGAGTAATATTTCAAGTCATCTAACGAAATATGTTACAGATTCGATTTTACAGCATGTATTCTGTAATCTATAGTGGAATACACTTTAATGTCAAAGTGCTGTGAAACTACAGCCTTAATTTCTGTATGGCATCATCACCATCAGATTTGTTAATACGTTATAAAAGAACTATGTGATATTTTACAACATGTCTCGAGATAATACAAACTCAATTTTGTGCAGGACAAGTTTGAAAATGTATGCTTTCGACAAAATTCAAAAAGTTTTTTCTTTCTTGACCAGTGGTTCAAATGTTTTATCTAAAGGAAAATCCATGAAAGTATTGAATATACTGCTGGTGACACTAGAGGGGTGGAGAGACACTTTAATCACTGTGCTAAATCGTTTAACTTTTCACGGTCCTCGTCTCTCATCAAGATGCAGAATACGATACATACAGATTGGTGCTTAGTCCCAAATGATCACTATAAATGACAAAGACACTTACGTTACTGATGACAGCCAGGTAGGAAATGAACTTTAGGATGGTCAGCCAGATGCCAATGTCTTGTGCTCTTTCCACGACAGGCCTGCGGTACTCACACACAAACTTCTGGGCATCGAGACGCACCTCCACCCAATTATTTATCAAAGCAAACAATGGAGCCAAGGGACAGGCTGCTACAAAGATGGTGATGAAGCCAAACTGCAGAACTGACAAGATAAAGAGTCTCAAAATCAGCCCTAATCTGAGCTGAACGACGATGGCATTCAATTTGAAAGCCACCAAAATTGTAGTTTTTGATATGATGGTAATATATATTGTGTTGCAAATGAGATA